CCGTGGTAATGACATAGTCTTGGGAGTGTGGTTGGCTGAGATCAAAGGGCTTCTCAAAGTGCCAAGTCCTCAACAAAAAAAATGACAGCTGACCCCCCCACCCCCATATCTCTATTATACATCATGTCAAGCATAGGGATCTTGGTGTACTTACATAGTGTCATGGTCATTGTGACTTCACTTACTGTAAGTTTACTATACAGGAAATGGGTGAGTGACAAAGACACAGAGAGTGTGTTGTAACCACATTGTGAATTCAATTTAACCCAAGAGCCATTCCAACAGCAGCTTAGCTCCTGGCAGGGTCACCCTAAAGCTTATTTATGCATGGTCACTCAATGCTCTCAACAGTTGTTTCTTGTGAAACGATGCTATGTCGCAACATGCTTCACATTTATACCTCTGTGACTTCAAGTAGAAGGAGAAATAAATTATTAAAATGATTAAGAAGAGTTATGCTGTGGCACAATTAACCTTTCCTACCCTCCAGGTTCTGGCAAGGCTAAAGTTTATTCACTTTATTCATGTGTCATACAAATGACAACATTGTCTGGCTTTTCTGACAGCCTTGGTTGCCTTGAAGTGATGAGTAATTCCATGGCAATGAGCTATCCAGAGACACTGTATGAAAGGCAGCAATGTTACTAAATGGCCAAACTGATCTTGTCGCCATCTGCAAAATGCAAGCAGTAGCATTTTTCTGCTTTACATTGGTGAGTAAGTGCAAGCTGGTGTCAAACTGTTTCAACAAACATCACTCAGTACGTTTACATGCACAGCTTAATCTAGCTATGCTCAAAATTCGATTTTGGCATCTAATCGGACTTCTGTCCTTGTCCCAGTTTACAAGCAACTGAGAAAATCGAATTACTGACGGGAACGTGTCCTCCTCCTCAACACTAGGTGGTGATATGTGTCGTTTCAGCAGGTTAATACGCCCCCCTTTCCGGTTGACCTATTACGTCACTTAATAATAAACAACTGGAGTCAGGCAGCAGACCGGCATTTTCGAACAACAGCGAGATGGATAATTGTACAGCTTGGTTTATCTCGTACGTAATGTACTCGTTACTGATTGTGCAGATAAGGTGCACGCTATCCTTCGTTGTCATGGTGATTTCGAGAGGCAGACAAGAACACCGTATGCTGTTGGAGGGCTACAACAATAGCATGTCTTGTCTGTTCCAGGGTCATACGCCAGCGCGGGGGGGTGTGGAGCATGCGCACATGCATTGTCTAGTTTAACTCCGATTACAGCGTATACATGCCGGAGAAAATCGAATTCCGATCGCATTATCTGGGTGTCTTAATCGGAGTTGGAGAACTCCAATATTAGTCAGAGTAACGTGTTTACATGCACTTCAGTTGTCCAGTTATAGTCGGATTAAGGCAATAATTTGTTTTTTTCAAGTGGCATGTAAACATACTAACTGATATAGCCATCCTATAGATTCTCATGAATTCAGTAGAACGGGTCCTGATATGACACACAAAAGCAAGAAAATATAAAGGTAACTACTGTACATTGTCTCCACTAGACTCACACCAGCATTAATTATTGTGGACCAATTCATTCCTTAGAAATAACTCCAGAAATCTGTTGTCCCTAAAATACTGCACTATATCCTTACATACTATCCCTGATGGTATGCAGACTGGATTTAGTCTTAGCAATCATTGATCTGTTACCCACAGAGGGCATACTTCTTTTTCACATAGCAACATGTGTTCCAACACAACAGAAGTCAACTCAATGTCAGGGTACAGCAAGTTCTCACCAAAGCTAAGATTTGTACCAACACAATGAGGTTACTTCATGAGTTCACTTCAAACTCATTTTCCAAGTCAAATATAAAGTGCTCAAGAAGTAATGTATTCAGAGTTGTCTCCCTTGAATACAGAAAATAAGCCCTGCACCCCAGCAGCAGTTATCATTTCTCAATCCTCACCATTTTAATACTGATGACAGTCATCTCAAAGTTGCCAAGCAATTTACTTCCCCAACAGCTCCAAATCCCTGTCAAGGGCAATACTGGATGTGGGTCTGTATCAGCAAAGCCACAGTGCTTTTTGCACACTACGTTGCTCAGAAAGATTACATCAAAATCTCAACAAAGATTGTAGATCAACAGTATACCATAAGTGACTATGCAGCTCTCAGATGAAATGTCTATAGGCCTTTCACATCCCCTTCCACCAATGGATCAAGGTCACCCAGGAAAATCAAACCCCTTATGTAAACAATCGGCAGCAAGCTGAGAAAACTAGAACAAAGTGCTCTTGATAGGGAATGTGATCCAGATACCTAAAACATGACAATCCACTGGGCACTCTATAGCTGATTCTGGTTGGCACCGAGAGCGACTTTCGGCAGACACAGCAATTAAAATACCAGATGCAAGACATCACTAAAGGCTTCTTTAAAATAGGTAACATCTTCAGTAACATTGTCTGCTACTGATCAGCCACTGTGGTGTTTTATATGTTGCTCTAACGTGGCCACATTTAAACTGAATCCATGAACAAAGGCAATCCCACAGCCTGGTCTTCATCTCCAGAACCAATCCTCACATGCTTCATCTGTGGCATGAGCCTCCAGGACAGTCGCCATAGCCACATGCATGCAATTGCACAATTGCTTCAGAGCAAAGCCTGTACGGGAATCTCGACTCAGTTATTTGAGGCCATGTTATGTTATCTTTGTTTTCCAAGGGACTACCATAAGCAAACAAGTGTGCACGACTGTGTGTGCATTTTGTGCGAGCAGATTTTTTTTTGTTTGTGTGCACACATGCTCCACGCTGCAAGGACGCAGTGTAATCAAAGTTCATTTGGAGTTGAAGAGATGGCATTTGATGCTGCTGTAGTGCATGTTACTAGAGTGGGAAATAAATGTCAGTCATTACATCAACATGTACTGATGTTGGTGAGGGGAATGGGCTTTGAGGACACAATTTGTGATGTAACAGTGTACCTACAAGCTTTGCAGTTCACAAGGTGAGAGAACATACAGAGTGAAAATGAGGGCCAGAGAGAGATAGCGACAAGACTGTTGTGTTTTGTTAACCTGTGTTTGCATATTTTCCACACACGCACATGCACTTGGGTGTCCACACAGAGTGGACAGTCAGTGGCCTTGTAATGAGGTGATCTCATCACATATGATCCTCAGGGAACAGTGTGTTCTCTACAGTAAAAGTGCTTATTGTATGAACATGTGTCCTTCACAGCAGAAATCCTTTATTTAATGGTTGTATGGACATGTTCCACTGGTGTCTCATTCCTCTCAGAGAATAAACCATCTGCAATGTTGTTGGTTGGAACACATGCTCGGACAGAAGTGGTGCCACATAAATATCAAATCCATTAAATGGTGTCGATTAAACTCCTACTTTTGTTTGGGTAAGTCCATGCCAAAGTGTTCTTGAGCAAGGCACCTGACCACAGCTGCTCAAGAAGACCTAGTTCATTGGCCTTGTAAAATGCATCATCAGCAGTGGGAACAAGCTCTACAGCCAACATCACCGCTTCCAACATCACACACATGCCTCAGAAGAGAGCACTGCCAGCATAGAGGCATGAGGCCGAAGAACAAAAAGTTTCTCCTTTATACCGGGTTAAAGCATCTATGAACATACAGTTTAACAATGTATACTGATGTCGCTCATAAAGGGACAATTCACCCTTCTTCTTACCTATAGTGCTGTTTATCAGTGTAAGAGTGTTCTGGAGTGAGTTGCTGAGTGCTGGAGATATTGACCATAGATATGTCTGCCTTCTCTCTAATATAATGGAACTATATGGCACTCAGCTTGTGATGCTCAACATGACAAAAAATACATTCACAACACTCAACAGCAATGTTGTGAGCAGTTTCATGTTGGAACTATTTTCTTTGTACCAAACTACACATGCTAGTTGTATCACCACACAGAGGGAAGCGTGCATCTACTCATGGATGAGAGGCTTGTGTTTATGACAGAGCGAGATGTAAACATGTGTAAAACAATAATAGCTAGCTCACGGTAACTTGCAGTATCGAACTATTAGTTGTCACGTTACAGCTCAGACAAGGAGGACGCCATTAGTGTTCACGGGCGCCATTTAGTTCCATTATATTGGAAAGAATCATCTCTACAGCCGATATTTCTAACACTCAGCAACTCACACAAAAGCAATCTAGACTGATAAATAGCACGACAGGTATGATGAAAAATAAATATGCATTTTTTATTTTTGCGTGAACTGTCCCTTTAACATCAAAGAAAGATACAGCAGGCTGCTTCCTTTAATATTTGGTTTAAACAACAAATACCCTGAAAGCTATCAAGAAACTGAACGATAATAAAGTTAAAATGACGAAGAAGGTTTTAAAGTTGATACTATACTTCAACAACATGCCTTAGTTTTGTCTCTCCATGTAAGGGAGAGGGGATTAAATAGGATTCAGCCTAATGCACTTTTATGTGTCTGAAGCTTTGTGTGTGTATGTGCGTACATGAATGTATGCCTCGCCCTAATGTTTTGGCCAATCAGCCCCTCTCTGCGTTGCGACAGCAACAGATCAATGCTTCCACCGAGCCTACGTGGAATCGATGGCTTCTTCTCTCGTCTTCAATAAGCATTACTTTAATGAGAGCGGCAAACTTCTGCATCCACCCTGGGAGACATCTAATTAAATGTCCCAATCTCTAAAATTACTCAACTGGCAAACATGCTAAATTAGTTGTTTTTTCTGTAAGTGTTTTGCAGACATTGAGGCTTCATTGTCATCATTGTGGATGAGACAGCAATAGCACCAAATCATCAATGAATCAAAGACTATACTGCATGATGGAGTGATGGGGAAATCTGTTTGTAGTGATCCAATTTGTTTAATATCAGATCAGGACTCTAAAATTGTCTGGTTGCTTCTAATGTGTAATAATCACAAAGATGAAGGCATGTTCTAGAAAAATCCATCCAAAACGTCATAAATAACACAAACTGGATGACCTTACCTTTGTAACAGCAGGGTACCCAGCAGTCACCTCTCCAGAGCAGTAGGGCTTCTCCTCATGTGAAACTTCGACAGTGGAGGCCCACTGGTCGAGGAAACCACTGGGGGTGTAGAGGCCACAGTCTCTCACGCCCGTCTCACGCTCAAAGTCCTCACACACCCCATCGCCATCATAGTAGTAACACATGCTTGGCTCCTCTGCAGGTGAACAGACAACAGAACAAAAAGCTGTAGTTTCAAATTGATACTTATCTGTGTTTCATCTCTATTGTGCTTTTTCCATAAGGTGAGGTGTGAGTACAGCTAAAATTTTATTTTAAAACAGATTCTACATATCCTCCGCCACCACCCCACTTTTCCTTGTCTTGCATGTTATAAAATGTACAGAGCCATACAGGTGAGGTTTTACACACTTTTAGCTTCCCTTCTCTCATCCTTTTGGTTTTTTAGAACACATGTACTCCAGATCCTTTGGGATCTAACCTTATCTCTTATTTTGGAAGGTGATGAGAGGACTGGATAAAGATGGGGGAGGAAGGTGTGGGATAAAAGGTGCATGGAAAAAGGAGGGTGAATTATTGAGTGTGTAAGGAGCTACAAAAACAGAGGGAAAACATGTTCATGTCAAAAGGAAACAAACAACAAGAAGGCATGAAAGAAGGAGAGCAATATAACGAGAGCGACAAACACAGAGAGAGGAGGGGACTTGGGGGGGAACCAGACAAAGTCAAGAGGTAAAGAAAGATACAGCCGTAATTTTTACAGATATCCCACCCGGAGTTAAGGTCTGGAACTGGAAGCTTATGGACTGGAGGAGAGGGGAGCAGAGCAGGGAGGTTGCCTGGGCCTCATTGCTCTCAGCTCTCAGCTAAAGCAGTGTCAGCCGGTGGGGTTCCAGTTAGGGGGAAAGGCGGCATTCTGTGCCAAGTTGGCCGGGGCCTCCTCCTTGAAATTCCAGCCCTCTCCAGCAAAGCCAAAAACTCAAGTCAGTTCTGTGCTCTGGCAATGGTGAAACGAGGGGCTACTGAGGGGGCATACAGAATACGCTCCCGCCACTCACTCAGCAGGAGCAGAGGCGAGGAAGAAGGGAAGGAGCGAGACATGAGGAAGCTCAAACAGTGGCTTGTGAAAGCTGCACAAGTAATAGGTAGAGTGTGAGCTAAAGAGAGAAGGGGGGGGGGGGGGGGGGGGGGGGGGGGGGGGGGGGGGGGGGGGGGGGGGGGGGGGGGGGGGGATGGAAAAGGAGACAAAAAAAGGGTATTGCTACAGTATTTGAAGTTGGACAGGGATAGAATAAACAGATAACGGAAAAAGTGGAAAGGTGATTGAGTGCAAGGGCAAAAAGAAGAGAGCCCTACAGCTTGAAAAAAAAGGACAGCGATGAGATGAACAAAGATGGATAGAGACAGAGAAAAGAAAGGTCCAGAGGCTGTCAGAGCAAGCTATACCTGCTTTTTTTATGTTAGTTGTTTTCAAGACAGCACCCCAAACTACACTGTCAACATGTCAAAGTGGGGCAATCTGACCTTTAAAACCTTTGCTTTTGTGATAGCAGGAGTATAAGAATATGGCTTTTAAAAAATCAGATTGCATTTCCTTTATGTTTTATCTGCACCTGTGTTTACCGTGGCTCGGAGCCCTGTTGAAACATAACCACTGGGATTGTAACGCCAGGTGGGGTCATGTGAAAAGAATGATTTTCGATTTCGTCAATTCCAGATATAATTCGACTCAATCGTGTGAATAGCCTATTAAAGCTCATCCAGACTGTAGCACCCTGGCCCTGTTGTATACTTAGTGTCAATTTTCCATCCAACTCTCTCATTCACTATCCAACACACTGACAAGCAGGCACTCTCTCACACATACAGACAGATGGACAGAAGGTCCCATCATTATAGTGTCAGATTTCTGTGCAAAACTACAACTATGTCAGACAGTGTTGGACACACACACACACAAACACACACATACACACACCCCTGAGCGCTGCAGTTGGTGGAAAAACAGCCCAGCCAACGCAGTCATCCAGCAATCTGACAGGGATTAAGTGGCCACTTCACAGAGGCTCACACATGTGTGTGCATGCATGCATGTACTGTACACACACACATACAATCACAACAGGGGGGTGAAATGATTGTCTACAGCAGGAGAACTGGACAGGAAACCATCCATCTATTCATAAAACAAAACAACGTAGGAGATGCCAGTCACTCAACTATGTAAAATAAGATGACTCACCCTTTAAGAAAATAATGATTTCCAGATCTTTTTTTTATTTTTTTTTCAACAGGAGGTCAAAGTGATTATGATATCTAATGGCGTTTTTATTCTTTTGAGAAACGCATGAAGTACTTGCATAGAAGACGCCCAGATATTAAATCTGTTCATTCACAAAGTCAGCCTGTGGGTCCCATTGAAAATGTTCTATTTTGTGAAATAATACATAGTAACCACAATAAACACAGACTTGATAAATGTCACATGTACATGTCTTTTAAACTCATTTTTGGCCAGTAAAATATGTCTAAGCTTCAGTCAACATCATTAAAATAATCGACATACTATATGTACACACAGCCCTGTTGCCAGGAGAAAATGTGAAAATGTTGTCATTGTAGATTTCTGCAACCATGAATACATAACATTTGGATGTTACACAAGTATTATATCAATGTTTCTAAAGAGATGTAGTATATGGGCTGACTTCGTAAGCAGGAGTTGGAGGGAATGGTGGATGGCTTTTACAGAGACATCACTATGTTATCTGTCAGAATAATTTGGATAGTGGCTTGAAAAGTGTTTCCAGCAGGGTTTGTGCCCCCAAAGTTGGGTATTTTAAGCCAAAACATTATCTTTTCCTAACCGTAACTATGACATAACCAAATGGGTTTTTTGCCTAAACTTAACCACATGTTAGCCAAAGCATTGTCAAGATGTAAACTTTTAACTTATCCTAACAATGTGCAAATGTGATGTATCCATGTTTTACAGAAACATACAATGGCAAAAAATTTGCCTGGGGATTGGGCTGGTACACATTACACTTTAATAAATGTGCGAGATACAGTTTGTAATACAATATCTCATGACCAGTTTTTCTGGGGTGGCTGTGGATCAGATGCCGAGCGGGTCGTTCACCAATTGGAAGATTAGCCGCACGATCCACAGCTCCCCCCCCCCCCCCCCCCCCCCCCCCCCCCCCCCCCCATTTTTTAAATAACTTTCTTTTCTCTGGAAATAAATCAAAACAATCCAACCTCTAATGAGTTATGTATTTTATTCTCCTTTTTCCAAACTGTGCAAGCTCTAGATATGTTTCACAAGCATATTTCACAAGCGATGCCTTGCTACAGGCCATACAGGGTCACTCCTTCACAGCTGCCAGTATGCATTACAACTGCATCGTTCTACTAGTGGTAATGAGCAGATCTGCTTGAGAAGTTGATCAAAGGTGCACTTAAGGTAAAGTAACTCTCCTATTTCAAGTATTTTTTTTTTCTCAACAGCAATCCAGAGAAAGAAACCAATGACTGCACTTAAACCTTGATGATACCTTTGTCCATATGACTTACCAATGCAGTTGAAGAAGGGCTCCTTCTTGCACTGACTGGAGCAGCCATCCCCATTCATAGAGTTCATATCATCACATTCCTCTCCTTTGGAACTAAAATAGCAGAATGAGGTACTTAGAAAAAATCCACACATGCACACTGCCAGACTTATAAATACCAACTGAATCACATCAGGAGTAAAGTTGAGTTTTCTGAAAATAAGAATGTGGGCGCCTGTTACCTCTGGATGCGTCCATCCCCGCAGTACGGTGCCCCCAGGTCTTGCACCAGAGGTGGGGAGGGCTCACTCTCACTCCGGCCGGAGATGGTTTGGACCTGGTAGGTATACACAATGTGTGGCGCCACATCCCTGCAAAAAGAGGTAAAGGTCATAGTAAGTCCACATATTTCAGGATAACGTGAAGCCTCGAAGAAATGCCTGATTAAAAAAAATCACATATAAAGAAAGGAGAAAGAGCAACTGAGAAAGATTCTTGGACCAGGCCTGCGGAGAATGGGTCGATAGGGCTACTGCTCTGTTTGCTAGTGTGTGTGTTGTAGCAATCTTTAGGTATCTCAAGTACCACTAGCACATCACAAATTAGCACATCTGTCTTAGTACACACTTCCACACATCTACCTATCCAGTCACTGCGTTTAAGCGCTTTGGGTCCAGCTTTGTTTTGTTTCCTCACCACAGTGATTCAAGGAGCCATCATGATGAATACACAATGGACAGGAGAAATACTGGGGGACTACTCACTTTGCCGGTGTAAGTCGCCATGATGGTTTCTTGAGTCACCATGATAAGGAAGTCTGAAAAAAAAGTCTGAAAGGAAAAAAACATAAATGAGAAAACTAAAACCATAAACAAAAAAAAAAATCAAAGCTGTAAATGAGAAACCGTAAGCAAAGCAACAAAACAAAACTCGAGGAAAGAAAACTGTAAGTAAAAAAACAACACAAGTGCAAAGTGAGGGTGCTGTCATGACATTAGCCGTCTTGTTTTATTATTTTACTCTTGCTTTTTCTCTCTGAACTTTTGTTTGCCTTTACATGTTGTCATGGAGTCTAATCATTTCTGTAGGATCTGCTCACTGGTGCCTGTGAGCCAGTGATCAAATAAATGACACACATCATGGGTCACGTCAGACTTTTCAAAAAAAAAAAACTGATGCCAGTCGCCTGTTTTATGAAAACACTTTGTTTCATCTGACTTTCTTAACTGGAAATGAAGCTAAGAACAGAAGTTTGAAGATAAACATGTAAAGGCAAGCAAATAATTTAAGAGGTTGTGTATTTATTTATCTAGTCTGACTATTTAAAGCAATTTGAGAAAAACAAAACAGTATAACTGATTTTCGCGTCAGCACTCTCATTTGCAGCTGTTGTTTACAGTTTTCTTTCCGTCTTGACTTTTTTCCCCTTTTGCTTATAGTTTTGGTTTCTCATTTGTAGTTTTGATTTGTCGCTTATGGTCTTGGTTTCTCCTTTATGGTTTTCTTTTTTGGCTTTCAGAGTTTTTGACCTTACCTTTTGTGTGTGTGTGTGTGTACTTGTACATGCACACAGTGAGGACCAAAAAACTTATTTTAGCAACAGAGTGGGGGCATTTTTGCAAAATGAGGACATTTTGGCCGGTCCTCAGTTTTTTAAAGGCCTGCTTGAGGGTTAAGGCTTAGTTTTAGGGTTCAGGTTAGAATTGGGGTAAGGGTAAGGGTAGGCATTTAGTTTTGATGGTTAAGGTCAGGGTAAGGGACTTGGGAATGCATTCTGTCGGTGAGGGTCCTCACAAGGATAAGAATACAAGAATATCTGTGTGTGGGGGTGTGTGTCTGTGTATAAGATAGATGACCAAGGTTAAGACATTATTTCCTTACATTCTAATTCAGATTCAGACATTCACTGATACTAACAATAAATGTTACTTCCCATGTTTTTTGTGAATTCTATATGCATTGACTGTTGTCTGAAGGTTGTCCTGCACACAACATAGTTTCCATTTGTTGTGTCACTGTAATTTTGTTTGGTCTGAATGGCATGCGATGACTATGTTAGATGACTAATACAGATCCACTTGGCTCCCTTGCCTATAACAGACTTGTTAATTGAAAATTGAAATAGATAAAAAACATGGTTGTGCTGTTTATTACAGTGATATGTTCAAGGACAGGATGTGCTCATCCTGGAAAATACAGTTTGATGGACCATTCTAAATACTATATAAACAAATAATTACTTAGCATTAAGTTCAAGCAAAATCAGACAGAAAAATGTACATTTTAAAAGTAAAATACACTATAAAGAAAAAGAGTGATTGTGTTCTCTATGTTATTCAATGCATAAGGGGATAGGAATGCATGATTGTACAATTATGGCTAGTATTGGATAAGTGCAGGGTTAAAATTAGGAATATGGTTGGAGAGCAACATCAGTAAATGAGGACCAATAGGTTAGCTTATAGATCATTTCATGTGGACCATCAAGTAGGCCTAGTATAGGTCTAATTTTGGAATGCCCTCTGCAATGTTGTACATGCAGTGACAAGCATGTATGGATACTGTACAGCTCACATGAGCACCAGGGCATATATGGATTCATATGCCCATTACACAAAGCAACTCAGACAAATACAAATACATGCTGGCACACATACGCGCAATACTTTTGTTCTTAGTAACACACTGCCAGCCAACTGTATGGCCTTTAAACTTAAACAACAGTACACAGGCATGAACCACTATTTCCACTGCTGCCAAATAATCCCCAGTGTGACAGCAATGCAGCCCGAGCAGCAAACATTGCCACAAAGGTTTCACCCAAGGCCAGAGATAAAGTCAGCAATCAAACCACGAAAGAGGGTGAGTGATGTGCAGGGAGGCTGTAGCTTTTTATGAGCTCTAAGTCAAACCATTCTGTTTAACATTTAAGTCCACTAATCACAGCGTTGGTGGTTTGATCCCTGGCTCCTCCTGTCCACAAGTGTCCTTGGGCAAGACAGTGAACCCCAAGTGTGGGTGAATGAGAGGCATTTACCATTTATTACCTCCGACAAGGAGGTTATGTTGTCGGTTTGATTTGTTTGTTTGTCTGTTTGTCAGCAGGATTACGGAAAAACTATTGGCCTGATTTTCATCGAGCTTGGTGAAAGGATGTAGAATGGGCCAACCTGTAATCCTCTGGGGTAGCCTACACATGTAGTTGTTCAAACTTCATACATGGAGAACTTGTTTGACATAATTCTAGTAGTTTGGGAACTATATCCAGACATATAGTGGTTGCACTTGCAGATTTGCGTATCATAGACAAGCTATTGGCTTTGGCAGATGTCTGCGCTCTCCAAGTGCTCTTAGAATATAAGTGCTGTCAAATGTTCTAATAGACATGTTTAATGAAAGAAGCAGGTACTCTGCATGCCCATGTACACATACACATACAGACCAATACATTGCATTACATAAAAGGTGTTGCTTGTGCACATACAGTACAGGCCAAAAGTTTGGACACACCTTCTCATTCAATGCTTTTTCTTTATTTTCATGACTATTTACATTGTAGATTCTCACTGAAGGCATCAAAACTATGAATGAACACATGTGGAGTTATGTACTTAACAAAAAAAGGTGAAATAACTGAAAACATGTTTTATATTCTAGTTTCTTCAAAATAGCCACCCTTTGCTCTGATTACTGCTTTGCACACTCTTGGCATTCTCTCGATGAGCTTCAAGAGGTAGTCACCTGAAATGGTTTTCCAACAGTCTTGAAGGAGTTCCCAGAGGTGTTCAGCACTTGTTGGCCCCTTTGCCTTCACTCTGCGGTCCAGCTCACCCCAAACCATCTCGATTGGGTTCAGGTCCGGTGACTGTGGAGGCCAGGTCATCTGCCGCAGCACTCCATCACTCTCCTTCTTGGTCAAATAGCCCTTACACAGCCTGGAGGTGTGTTTGGGGTCATTGTCCTGTTGAAAAATAAATGATCATCCAACTAAACGCAAACCGGATGGGATGGCATGTCGCTGCAGGATGCTGTGGTAGCCATGCTGGTTCAGTGTGCCTTCAATTTTGAATAAATCCCCAACAGTGTCACCAGCAAAACACCCCCACACCATCACACCTCCTCCTCCATGCTTCACAGTGGGAACCAGGCATGTGGAATCCATCCGTTCACCTTTTCTGAGTCTCACAAAGACACGGCGGTTGGAACCAAAGATCTCAAATTTGGACTCATCAGACCAAAGCACAGATTTCCACTGGTCTAATGTCCATTCCTTGTGTTTCTTGGCCCAAACAAATCTCTTCTGCTTGTTGCCTCTCCTTAGCAGTGGTTTCCTAGCAGCTATTTGACCATGAAGGCCTGATTGGCGCAGTCTCCTCTTAACAGTTGTTCTAGAGATGGGTCTGCTGCTAGAACTCTGTGTGGCATTCATCTGGTCTCTGATCTGAGCTGCTGTTAACTTGCGATTTCTGAGGCTGGTGACTCGGATGAACTTATCCTCAGAAGCAGAGGTGACTCTTGGTCCTCCTTTCCTGGGTCGGTCCTCATGTGTGCCAGTTTCGTTGTAGCGCTTGATGGTTTTTGCGACTCCACTTGGGGACACATTTAAAGTTTTTGCAATTTTCCGGACTGACTGACCTTCATTTCTTAAAGTAATGATGGCCACTCGTTTTTCTTTAGTTAGCTGATTGGTCCTTGCCATAATATGAATTTTAACAGTTGTCCAATAGGGCTGTCGGCTGTGTATTAACCTGACTTCTGCACAACACAACTGATGGTCCCAACCCCATTGATAAAGCAAGAAATTCCACTAATTAACCCTGATAAGGCACACCTGTGAAGTGGAAACCATTTCAGGTGACTACCTCTTGAAGCTCATCGAGAGAATGCCAAGAGTGTGCAAAGCAGTAATCAGAGCAAAGGGTGGCTATTTTGAAGAAACTAGAATATAAAACATGTTTTCAGTTATTTCACCTTTTTTTGTTAAGTACATAACTCCACATGTGTTCATTCATAGTTTTGATGCCTTCAGTGAGAATCTACAATGTAAATAGTCATGAAAATAAAGAAAACGCATTGAATGAGAAGGTGTGTCCAAACTTTTGGCCTGTACTGTATGTACTCATGCTCTTCCCCCAGTGATGTAAAAATGTAAAAAAATAAAAAATAAAAAAAAAATAAAGAAAATGAAGAAACACAAACAAAAGATTTACAACAGGAAAGAGCATTTTCGTCATGACTATGGTCCTTGGCTTTTGTTTTTCCCCCTCATCTTCATTTCGCCATTCCTCCTGTGTTTGTTCATCACATTCCCGGCAGACGAAAGTAGACGAAGTTCAAGTTAGCTGTGCCGCCTCAATTATAAAAGCTGATG